TCCATCACTTACGTTTTATTTCAATACAAATACAAAAATTACAAAACAAAAAAACATCTACTTTCAAAGGAACACTTAAAATATTAAAAGTATTATGCAGCACATATTATTTTTTTACATGCGTATAAATTTAAGACAAGCAATTATGCATATTTAATNTTTCAAAACTTGATAAATTCGCTTTATTAAATACTGAAATCTANTTTCAAAGGAAAACTCAAAATATTAAAAATATTATGCAACACATATTACTTTTTTACATGCATATAAATTTAAACAAGCAATTATGCATATTTAATGTATCAAAACTTGATAAATTCGCTTTACTAAATACTGAAATCAACTTATTTGTTTAAAAAACTCATATCCGCACACGGTGCGGGCTAGTCATCTAGTAAATAAATATCAACAAAGATAAAAACTAAATAGAAAGATATTAAAAAAAAACATATACATGAGTTTGTGTAATGCTCTTCTATATTAGAAATTTATATATCTGATAAAAAAAATATTTGCCTAAGTACATAAGAGCATCATTATTGGTGATACACTTTGGGTATCAAAAAGATTAATTTAGTATTAAGTTTAATTATTTTTTAATCTTTGAGACTCATTAATGATTTTGTAATTTTTGTAGGTTTAATGGTGATACTTATTAAAGGTTCTAAAATAAAAAAAAAATAAATTTCTTTTTATATATCTAGAGCTGAGGAAAGGAGACTAGTGATGAATGGACTTCAAGCTTCTTACATGAGTGTTCCAATTATTGACAAACTCTGACTCAGATCTTCATCCAATGGGAAACCAACAAAGTAAACAATATGAAACATAGAAACCGTCTGTGAAACCAAAGCAATTCAACCAAAATAAGCCAAAGCAGTGAGAAGCAAAAGAGTTTATGTGAAAAAACAAAAATATTTACCATTCCCAAGTAGCTTCCAATAAGAAGCTTCTTTCTTCCTTGCTTATCAATCAAATAAGATGCACACAGAGCACCTATAAGACCAAAACATTCAGGAAAAGGGACATTGCTGCGGAAACAGTAGAAAAGAAAGCATAATTCACATGTAAAGTTGATATAGGTGAGATTTGAGCACCTGCCAAATTTGTGACTCCAACATAAAGACTTGCTTGAGCACCACTCGTGATTCCAACGTTTTGGAACGTTAAAGATGAGAAATAAAGAACACCGTTTATTCCCGCAAATTGCTGAAGGAGAAAAAGGGTTCCCCCAATGAATGCAACTGCAACCATAATAACAACAACGCATAAAAATTAACAACACAACGGCGTCATGTACAAAGTTGGATATTCTCAGTTTCTGGTAAAATCTGAGAGACTTAAAACTACTAAAAGCCACCTTGACACAACCTTGTGAATGCGGTCTACGGAGAAGTTCCAACCATGTACTATCTAAGTCAGAGCCATTATTCTTCATAACCGAATGAAAACCTTCTACAGTTTTCTCGACTTCAAACTCCCCCCATATGTTTTTGATTACTACTTTGGCATCATCCAGTCGTCCAACCTAAACAAGTATCATGAGACATGATTTTCAACATGGCAAAACAATGCTTCTTCATAATGAAGAGACGCATGTACTTTACAAAGCCAACGGGGACTCTCTACTGCAAAATGCATACCAAATGCAAGAAGAAAACCATGCATACTCGCTGCATAGAACATTGTCCTCCACCTGAAAGACTCACCCATCAGAACAATCCAAAGCGGGCAAAAGTTTCCTACAAAGGATAACCAATTAAACCCCTCAGTTTTAACCACAGAGACTGTACCATGTAGCTCAACACCGTGATCGAATTATAAGGTCACCAACAGCGATTAAAAACATGAAACCACTTCTCAAACGGCAAGGACAGGAAGCAAAAAAATTACCAACGCCTATTGATCTGGAGGTTGTGCAATCGGTAACGCAAACGAAGGATGACGACGAGAACGAAAATACTCCCTCCGTTTCAAAATATAAGTTGTTTTGGAGATTTTTTTTTGTTTCAAAATGTAAGTTGTTTTGACAATTGTAGGTATTTGTTAACTTTATTGAATATTGTGTGACTACTAGTATTTTTGCAGTCTTTTGTGTGATTGGTCAAATTATTTTTATTAAATATATTAAATAATACTTTTTAGTAGAAAGTAGTTTCTTAATATCCGCTTTTATATAAAACAACTTACATTTTGAAATAGAGGGAGTAATTGAAGATCCAACAGACAAATCACAATGGATCAAGAGTTTGGGCGGCGATATGAAAGGGCGATTTGATC